CCATAGCGATTAGATTTTTTTGTAGAAAACGCATGCAGCCATTGTACTGTACGCTTTTCAAAGAAAACATCTTCCTTACCTGCATAATGTTATCCTCAGAAACACTACATACAACCCATGGCTCGTTAGGATTCCATGAGAAATCGCTGATCTTAGCTGTATGCCCGCCATGGATGAAAAGGAGTTCAGGGGGACCATCCTGCGATGATACGGATTAGTTAAATATTTTCGGTATGAATGTTGCAAAATTTTAAGGAAAAAACAGAAGATTTACTACCTCAGCATCCTCAGGTATCTGCTCTTCGCCAATCTTTGACAGATCCCAAACATGCAGTCTCCTAGAAACAACAATACACAATCTTGGATATACAATAACAACGAAAGGATGAACTGACCTGTCAGTTCCACTGCTAGCCAGAATGGTCTCGTTATGCGGACTCCACTGAACTTGGAAGATTTCATCCTTGTGTGACTCAAATGAGTGCAGCTTGAGTTTCATGTTTCGCAAATCCCATAGAGCAACAGTCTGGATTAAAACAAATTCAGGAAACTGATAAAGTGCGGGCAAAATCCTGTCATACATTGAGAATAATCTCTACCGTTCAAATAACGGTTTACTTCACCTTGTCAGCACTGCCTGTAGCAAGAATGAACTCTGAGTATGGATTGAACGACAAGCAGTTGACTTCGGCAGAATGAGCATCAACAGTGTGTGCCGGTTGACTTCCACGGATGTCCCAAATCATCAGTTTGTGATCATCGCCAACAGAACCGAACACTGCTTCATGGAGCACATGCCAAGCTACGTCTTCAACCACCTAGGGATAAAATTTTGCCCTATGGCTTTTAAAGATTGTTTTAGCATTAGAGTAAGTCTATATGAAAAATGAGAAAAGTACGGATATTCACTCCAAACCTCATCAAAGAGCCTGCACGCAGGGGCTTATGGCTAGTGTCAGTTGCACTTACAAAGTAAACAAAAAAAATTACTTAGCGTCTTTTCAGATACACAATCTAGTCAAACATGAGATAAAAACTTACAGCAGTGTGGCCTTTGAAGATCGTTTTCGCATCCAAATATCCAGCGCTGACCTCGTTTGCTTGTACATCCCATAGACAAACCTAGAGAAGAAGCATAGCTAGGATAAAACGGAAAATGTGCAACTCAAAACGCATTAATGTCGAATAAAAGCATACCGTCATATCATCAGAAGCCGATAGTATGTGTCCTTGCTTGTTCGGATTCCAAGATAACCCGTAACCTTCTTTTGTATGCCCACGAAGTCGCAGTTGTGGTTTGCACTGGTTGTCTTTGGGAACTGAGGAGTGCT